GCACAAATAATCCAGTTAGAACTGTAGTTTTGTGAGATTTAGCCTTCTCTGTCAGAGAGCTCTGGTGCCACAATAAACTACAATTCCTACAATTCTGTAGTACTGTGCCAGGGCAGGTCTTGAACTGGATTATTTCTGCAGTGTGTTTTGGACCTCTGTTAAAGGCCTGTGCTAGAGTTCACCAACCAATACTCTTCCTCCTCCTTCTTTCCTTTCCTTTCCTTTTTTCTTTTGAGTCTGGCTAGGCTTTGATATAAGCTTTGTGAGAGAAGACTATTTTTTCTCATAAACTTTGCATTTTGTTCTAATAATTGCTGTTTTGAAGTATTTATTTCTTATCCCATTGTTGATATGTATGCATTATGGATGGGGTTGTTGTCACACATTCAAAATGACAATGAAAAATGCAAAGGGAAAGGGAGGGGGAAAGTTGCAGTTTTCTTTCTTTCTCTCCCCCCCCCCAAAGCTGTCTTGAGCTGCCTAATTAATGAATGAACAACCAAAAACAGTTAAAATATCTCTATATGAAGAATTACACAGAGAGGTTTTTTTTTTCCATTAAGGAACCATTCTTGCCCATATGTCTTCAGAGATGGGAGGAAAAATGGGGAGAGGCCAAGTCAAGAATAATAATTTAGGCTGCATCCACACTGACAAATAATCTGGTTTGGCAGCACTTTAACTGCCATGGCTCAATGCTATGGAATTCTGGGAATTGTAATTTGTTGTGGCCTCACAAGACTACAAATCCTAGGGTTCTATAGGATGGAGTGATGACTATTAAAATGGTGTCAAACTGCATTATTTCTACAGTGTACCTACACTCTTAATCCTGCACAAAATTCACACAGTTTCTTTTGCACAGAAAACAGCATTTTCTGTGCATAACCTCCATGTGTGTCTTTTCCACGTGTTAATCTTATACAAAAATTGCATATAGTTTTTCTCCACACAGAAAAAAAGCATATTCTGTGTGTGTGGGGGGGGAACCTATGTGTGGATTTTGTGCAGAATAAGTCCCAAACTACAGCATTTTCTGTGAAGGAAATAGCATTCACTGAGTAGAAAATAATATTAAAATAAATAATAAAATACTGGTTGTTGTTCTTGTTGCTGCTACTATTGCTGCTGCTACTACTGCTTTGCACAAAACCTGTACAGGAGAATTTTGAACAGAATAAATCTCAAACTGAAGAATTTATCATTGGAAGAAAAAAATACTATAGTCATTGTTATTGTTATTGTTTTAGAACAAAATTTGCAAAAAAATACATTCTTAGCAATAAACTAACAAATAGATATAACCTTGCTTAGCAAAGCCAGTTTCAAGAGATGTAAAATTTATGGCTATTTTAAAGCCATGGGGAAAATTCAAGATTTTTTCTGGTTTGGTTTTTAGTTTGAAAAAAAAAATTATTTTTAGAAAGATTGAAAAAAAATGCAATGTTAGCATGCTTTACAGATAAGCAGTCACTTTGTTACTTTAGGAACATAAAATTTATATGCTGTTGTATATAAATTGGTTTGGGATAAAATGTTTGCTTTATTAGAAGTATAGTCACATTTGCAAGGGTTAGGGGCAGAGGACCCTTATGAAAGTGAAAAAACTGTGACTATCTTAGCCTCGCCCAGACACAATTGATACAGAGTCCTCTCCCATCAAGAACACCACCATAACTCCCTTTGCAACCTTGCCACATTTCCCCCACATTTCCATCTTCTTCCCTCTCTTCCTCCCTCTCTCTCCCAGCCAGGCAAAAACAACACCCTCCCCTCCCCACTTTGCCAGACATAGTATCCGCCATATTTCCAAACTTCAGATTGAAAGTGCAAGAAGGTGGATCCTCCATGGTGATCAGACTGCTATCACTGAAAGTGGAAAGAGTTTGGAAATGTGTTTCTTTTGACTGGCTAGGAGGGATGGAGTGGGAGTTAAGAGGTCGATCTTGATAAGCAGAAGCTACAAATTCACAAATAGTCAAAACCATGAATCTGAAACCCACAAATGTGAAGGGGTAACTGTATAGTTTTAGAAAACAATTAGAAATTGAATTTACTTCATTATTTTTTTCCACATAATGCAGCTGTCATGTCCTGAGCTCATAGAATTATACAATCCTATGTAGAGTTGGAAGGAACCTCATGGGCCATCAGGTCAAACCCCCTGGCTTAATGCAGGATCTCCAGCAAATGCATCCCCAGCAGGTAGTGGTCCAGCCTGTATTTGAAGATGTCCAAAGAAGGAGACATCACCACTTCTCTAGGCAATTGTTCCAAACTATTAGGAACACCTGATCTATGGAGATTATTGCATTCCTCTTTTTGCCTGATCCAGAAATGGACTGGACATGGGTTGAAACTGGTGAAAATGAATTGTATCCCACACCTCCATGCCCAACTTAGTCACATCATGTACCCAATCCAGACTCATGTACCCAATCCAGATTGTACATTTTGAAGAATGGGAAAGTATTGTTCTTTGAAACGTACAGCAGGCGTTTGGATCAGGTACACAATGTGGTTGAGTTGGGCACAGAGGCACGCGATAAGATCCGTTTTCACCAGTTTAAGCCTGTGCCCAGCCCATGCCTGGATTGGATGAAAAGAGGCATGCAACAATCTCCTAAAAGAAACATCTTAGCTTTGACAGTTTATGATAATCAGGCAAAAAACAGTAAGAATACAAGAAACCATAAACATTAGTAAAACAATGGAAACAAATTTGTCCACTCTGGTTCTCCAAGACGTCAAGCAGATTTAAAGCTCTCTTTCCCATAAAAAGAACAGTGAAAAGGAAATCAGGACCAGGAGTCACAATGATCTGATGCTATATATCTGAGCTTCTCAGGCCATTTGATATGAGGAGAGTGGCATTTTTTCTTCTAATGAGTCTGGTCCCATAGTTTTCTAATGTGACTTGCACTGGTGTAGGAAACCGCACTTTCAGTAGTGTTATATTAGTGTTATATTTGTAAAAAAGTGCTACATACTTTTTTACAAATAATGTGGGAGGAATAAACACATGAAAACATTATCTTAAACATTTTATTTGTTATTCTAAAATAAAATATTCCATCCTCCTTATTTTCCTCATATTTTCTGAAAAAATAAGACTTCCGGGGGAAGGGGGGGGGGAGAGATTCAAATTATCCCAGTTTTTTTTCTTCCAGGCCTTCACATCTCTACAAATTTCCCAGATCTCACCAAATAACTCCCCTGAGAAGGCTGTTCACTGACCTTTTAATCTGGAATAAAGTCCAGGTCTCTAGTTTTAATGTATTTTTCAAGGCAACAGAGCCAAAAGTGAGTATTTTCCTTCATTTGTCATATAAGATGGGAATTTAGCTTCTGTGGGCTAAGTTACTCTACAGGGATAGTCCAAGACCTTTTGCTGTTTTTCATGAAGAATAAGATGGTACACGCGCACACATATTAATTCCAAGAACAAAAGGTGACAAAACTGGCAGTTGAATCAATGCCATCTGCACTGTTAATGGGAGAATATCTTCTGCTGAAAGCAAAAGGTAGCAGACTGCCTTAGGGGATATAGCACAAGCCACGTGCCATGCAGTTTTCTCAAACACCTTATTGCCTTCTCCTAGCAGCTGCTGAATGAGGTGATGGCTTCATTCTCTCTAATGATAAGGCCGGCCCTGTTCTTTCCAAGGTGTAGCAACTGTAGCCAGTTTTACAGACCACAAAACACACAGCCGGAGGGTTTCACAACAAACATAGAAAGAAAAGCGTGGCGAAACCGACAATGTAATGAACCGTATTACAACAATGTCCCAAAGGGACAAAACCACAAGTCTACCATATATACAAGGATCATATATTTATATGTAAGTAACCACGTTGTAGTAATACTACAAAACACAGAATACACAATACAAAGTGCTATAGAGCACTATATTTCCCAAACTATGTCCTCTGTGCTCCCTCTCATCCTAACAACCTCTGTTCCCTGCTATTCTTTCTGTGCCAATTTTACAGATTCCAGCTAAAAGAGGTCTGCTGGCTCATGGAATCCAACTCGCTCCACCTTTACACATGACTTTTAAAGTGGCACTTACTTTCTCACACATTTTGATGACTGCTACAGAACATGTTGTACCACACTCTATGAAAAAAATGCTGTCAGGCATCTTTGCTACTGTGAATAAAGGAGTCAGATCAACTGTTACCAGATGACAGCCCTGATCAAAGACTGATAACAGTGCTTATTTATTAATTTAGTTCATAATTAAAAAAAATCTATAGGAACTTGCCAGGGAGGTTTTTTCTAGGTCAAATTATTACCTCTGCTGAAAGCAATGCATAATTCCTGTAACTTACATGTGATTAAAGAACAGGACAATGAGCATTTCATTTTGAGCTTTGGATTCAGACAGTGAGTATCATTTTAATTCCTGCCCTGTGAGCAACCTTGGAGTCAACTCCCATACACAGAAGATATGTCCAAGTTTCCTATGGAATCACGATTCTAAGCAGCTGATGGAAGGGATGGTGGAAGAGTAATAAGCATCCCCCCTCCCTCTGCTTCCTGCTGATAGATGTGCCATCAGCTCAAAATGCAGATTTTCTTGGTGACAGTTGCTATGTGAAATGTTATGAGATAGAAATTACTGTCATAATTAATAATAGGTAAAGGTTTTCCCTTTGATGTGCTAAATTCCATGTTGCTTGATTGAGACTTCGCGGCTGTGTTTATTACTGTAACTTTCTGTTTTGTCTTATTGGTTCGATTGCTATCCGGATCTAAACTCCCACGGGATTTAGACAGAACTATTAATACTTAAGCTGTTCATCTGTGCCTTTCCTTGTGAGACAAAGAAACCTTCTTAATGAGATTATTAATACACCTTTAATTGTAAAACCCTTACATATGGAAACATAAAAATACAGACTTTTGCAAACTTTGTCTAAACACACAAATAGATAATAATAATAATTGGAATTCCTAAATGGGAATATAGAGATAATGTACAATAATAAAGAGAGGCAGGATGGTGTAGTGGTTTGAATGCTGGACTAGAACATCAGGAGACCAGGGTTCAAATCTCCACTCAGTCATGAAAACTCACTGGGTGACCTTGGGCAAGTTGCACTCTCTCAGCCTTAGATGGTGAACCCCTCTGAACAAATTCTGCCAAGAAAACCCCATGATAGGTTCACCTTAGAGTCACCATAAGTGACAGGGAAAAAAAAAAGACTTGAAAGCACACAACAGCAATCATTTAAATGGCTTATAATAAACAATGCTGACCTCTTTCAAAAACAAGAAGAAACAGACAGAAATATTACTTTAAAAGACTGGAGCACTTCCTTTCTTGAAATGGAGAATTAACAGAGCTGGCATATGTGAAGGCACTTTCCACATAGAAGGGACAAACTAATGCTTGCCAAATCCATGCAGTAGCTAGTTACAAACAACAGGTTACCTATAATTAGTTCGTCCCCTTCACAACAATGAAGGTTTAAAAACACTACATTTTGATTGACTTTCCCAAGTCTCAGGACCTTCCCCTTCTTCACTGGTCCTTAAGGCAAGTGGAGAAAACTCAGGGTGAGAACACTGTTTTGAAAAGAAACTTTTTAAAAATAAAATTGCATGCTGGTGTCCCTTGTTACTACAGGCTACTTTACAACAGCTACTGTATATCTTCCAAGGGATCTGCCTGTCCCATCCTGTTCAAAGATTATCAAATTGTAGTGAGTGTCATTGCTCAGTGACAGGGAGAAATCAGCACTAGGAAATACTGAGTTGCTTTAAAGCTGTCATTATGACTAATAATATAGACAAGTGACATGAAACAACCATGTCAGGTAAGTCTTGCATTAGTAAATAAAAACATTTTGAACCTTCAGAATGTTTTTTATTTATTTCTCCACTTTCCACTTTTCTTGAGTTCCATGTTTGTGCCCAAACTTATACACATATGTTTTTTAAAACATGCTGGAAGTAGTTAACGAGGCAGGCTAATCTGCTTCCCCCTTTTGCATTGGCACAAAGGACACCAACACGATTAATTTTGGGTCAAACATTGGCCACAACTTTTATTTTGTACAGGGTCTTGATATCAATCAATTAAACATTTAAATAACAATTTAATTAACAATTTAAATAACCATTTCTTAAACAAGAATTTGTTCTTGACGCATGCATTCGTGTATTTAAGCGCAAGTGCTATTGAATAATTATTTCTAACACAGCATGCGTCAAATCCTTTAACTTATGCACTATACAATAACAATATCTAACCCCTCCCCCAACCGGATATGACGCCAAAAGCATTTTATGACATCATAACATTATGGCATCATTGAGTTTAAGATGACGTCATAGAAATTTGTTTAACCTAATGACATATACCAAAAAATTTTATTAATTTTTATCCCAATTAGTAATTTTCAATTAACCTAAAAATTCCCTAAAGGGGGGAGGGTCCCTGCCCGCTAACAAGTTTTTTCCCTCCGACAATAACGTAATAGACCCATAACCTCCAGTTGTGACAAAATTATACTTTATCTAATTGAACTTCTTACCAAATACCATACCAACAATTAATTATGTCCCCATCCCTAATAACTCCTACCCAGCATTTTAGTAAAAATTTTGATCCAACTTATAATTGGTAATGTTATTATTCTCAAGGAGGGCGAAAAACCCAATTTGAGACTCTGGGAAAATTCCCTCCCGGCTCCCGAAGGCAACCAGCCGAAGCCTGAGCGTACATAACATGTTTACCAATTAATTAAGGGTGGGAGGGATGGGTTGCTCGTCCGAAAATAAAATGACTGCCGACACATGGCAGCGCGGGGCTAAATAGCCCTGAAAATCTTGCTTCCTAGTCTCGCGAGATTTAAACTCTCGTGAGACCAAGGAGCGAGACCTCTATCTAATTGACCTAGCAGACCGGCAAGGGCAGGCCATCCGGTCTGCTTAGCCAAGCCCGTGCCGGTGCCCTTATTTGGGCCGATGCAACAGAAGGCCCCTCCCGACTTGTTGGGGGGGGTGTCTTTCTCTCTGTTTTGTTCATGCACACTCAGTGTGCATGGATTTTGGAAACAGTAACTGTTTACCTTGTAGGCAGGAAGACATAGCTAGAGTAGGACTGGCTAGAATCCTGATCTTTTCCAGCTCAGGTTTTATTGCATTATTTACTGCATATCATAGAATTATAGAATCATAGAGTTGAAAGAGACCACAAGGGCTATCCAGTCCAACCCCCTGCCATGCAGGAACTCAAAATCAAAGCATCCCCGACAGATAGCCATCCAGCCTCTGTTTAAAGTCCTCAAAGTAGGAGACTCCACCAATCTATGAGGGAGTGTGTTCAACTGTCAAACAACTCTCACTGTCAGGAAGTGCCTCCTAATATTGAGGGGAATCTCTTTTCCTGCAGCTTGCATCCATTGTTCCGGGTCCTGTTCTCTGGGGCAGCAGAAAACAAGCTAGCACCGTCCTCAATATGACATCGCTTCAAATATTTAAACAGAGCTATCATATCCCCTCTTAACCATCTCTTCTGATGCAGCCCATCACCAGAAGCCTGTGTTACTCCAGCCCTCCTTTACAATCCTTCTAGTGCCAATGCTGCTAAATAACTTCCAGCTAGACAGAGGACAAGGAAGAAAACAATGGTTGGGTGGGCATAAAAAGTATTTTTCAAATGATCTGATTTTTGTCTTGGCAGCTTTCTTCACTGTCCAGCTTTCATATCTATGCAGAGAAATCAGAAATCATGTTTATTTATTATTATTTAATGTATTAATTTATATCCCCTTTTTTACTCAACACCAGATCTAAAGCAGCACACAATGTTTTAAAAGCACAATACAATTGTAAAACACTTAATACAAAAGGTAAAACACAATTTAACTAAATTTATGTTTTAAAAATGCAAGGTAAAACAGTTTGAAACAGTATTTAAAAATATACTTACAAACATAATAAAATTTTAAAAAAACTACACACTGCCCTTAAAAGCTTTATTGCCATGTGCACTAAAAAAAGCCAAAAGCTTCCTAAAAAAAAAAAAAAGATCTTTACCTGTTGGAGGAAATAGGGGGTGGTGCAACCATACCTCCTGCAGAAGAGGATTCAATACCTTGGGAGCAGCCACCTAGAAGGCTCATTCTTGTGTTATCACCAGAGGGGCCTTGGATAATGGTGGGACTGGGAGAAAGCCTTCTCCTGCCTATCTTACAGCATGGACATCCTCATATACAGAGATACAGAAATACTATGACTTCAATAATCCTAACTTTTTTATTCATTGATGCATCCTTACACTTTATTTAATGATGGATTTATAAATTTGAGGATCTTATCTAGTTGCTTCATAGCTGCCTTTCTAAGCCTTAGTTTTCTGATTTCTTGACAATGGTCCCCATTTTGATTAATGATTAAGCCAAAATATAGAAAATATGTAACAACCTTGATGTCTTCACCATCTTCTTTAAAGTTATGTAAATCATTTTGATCATTATGTTTGTCTCCTTAATATTCAGCAGTAAAACTGCTTTTGCACCTTCTTCCTTAACTTCCATCAGTAATTGTTCTAATCTAAGTCTTTGCTAATAATAGTCTTTTCTGCTAGTAATATGGTAGCATGCGCATATCTTCAATCATTGATATTTTTCCATCCAACTTTCACATCTCTCTCCTGAGTTTAATCCTGGTTTCTATATTATATATTCTCTGTGTAAATGAAAGATAGAGTGATAAAATACAACCTTGTCTGACAGTATTGCAGATTGGAAACCATTGTGTTTCTCCCTAGACCGTCATGATAGAGATCTGTTATCTTGAATATAGGTTATACATTAGGACATTCAAATGTTGTGACACTTCCATTTCTTTTATAGTGATCCTTGGTTTTTCATGATGCACATAATTATTGCCATAATTGATTAAGCCAAGACAATTGTTCCCCCCCTGAAATTCTTTTGTGCACTCTGTTAGCCAACACAGGTTTGCAATATGTTTTATAATGTCTCTTCCTTTTCTTGATCCAGTTTGGGTATCTTGCATTTCTCACTCCATACATGGCAAAAATCTTGGGTATCACTTTGCTTGCATTAGAGATTAACATAATTTTCCAATGATTACTGCAGGCTATTACAACCCCTGGTGTCCAGTTTGTTAGGGGACAAGAATATATATTGTATGTTTCTAGTCTGTGGGTCATATTTATTGGCAATATTTGATACAATTTGGATGGATTCCATGTCTGCAGCTTCAAATAGCTCTATCGGTATTGCATTTGTTCCTGATGATTTATTTCCTCCAAATGCTTTGAAACCAGCATTCATTTCACTTTCTAATGTTATAGGGTTTCTTTTTTGGCTATAGATAATCTTTTCACATTCTTCTCGGGTAATATCCCTAGTTTCAGTCCACAGTTCTTCTATTTCACATTTAATTAGGCTCAGTAGTGCAAATCTGCTCTTTACATGGCCTTTAAATTCTACTGAGATGCTATTTAGATTCTGTTTAAACTCTGTGATTGATTTAATGTTCTTTATCTTCTGTTTCCAATTATATAGACTGTGATTTCTATGTTGACCATCCAGTGATATCCATTTATAAAACATTCTGTTCAGTTGGCTGAAAAGGGTATTTGCAACAAACAACCTGTTGGCATCCCAAAACTTGATAAGTCACTCCCCTGCTTCACTACTCAATCTGAGGTCAAATTCTCCAACAATATTTGGCTCTACTCTGTTTCCTACTGTCATATTGCAGTCTCTATGGACCTTATCACATGTGGGCCACAAAGCGATATTAAAGTGAAATAAGAATAAATCCAGGAATAAACCGAAAGAAACATTACAATACGCAAATGGCTATCACACGCAATTACCTTTATTGCGCTTTTAAGGAAAGCGCTT